ACTGCTCACATATAAAGAAATACTGAACTGAGTGTCTGACCTTAGAGAGAGTGCCAGACACTCATGTAACTTGGAGGGCTATCATACAGCAAGGGTAGGAAAGAAGCCCTCGTGTTGTTGGCACTCATCACATAGTGGGAGTCAGCTGTATTGATGAGTGGCTGCACTCACTTCATCCCTGTTCAACACCAGTAATGACCAAAAACAGCATTCCTTTCAGACTAGAAACAGACAGATGATGGTTAGTTGCTGTGGGTCACTTAAACAGGAGAAAGTGAACAGTGGGGACCCATCTGCCAAATTACATGATGGACACAATAGTAACTAGTAGAAGGCGGGTTAAGTGGGGCGCAGACAAAGAACTCATTGCATCTTTATTTTCTTTTGCATCCTCTACATTTTTCATGGGCATCCTGAAAACCTTTGATGGGCCACAAGTAGCCCAAGAGCTGTATGTTGTGCAGACCTGGTCTACTGGCTAACTATTGATGTAGTACTAGAAACTCCACCTTCTAAGGGTTGCTCCTAGAACTCTGAAAGAAGAAAATAGTTAGCCACCCTTTAGTACCCCAAGATGCTTGTGGGTACAAGTACCCAATTGGAGGAATTGCCTCAGAGAGGGATGCTACAGCTACAAGAAATGCAGGAATTCATTGGAAGAGAGGTAGGGAGAGAGGCACATTTGCAGAGTGACCCACATGTATACTCTTGGAACTCCATGTACTCTTCTGTATTTACTTTGTATTTTATATTTATAATTTGTAATACTATTTTGTATTTGTAATATTATACTGATACTATACAAATACTAGTATGTATAATACTATTTTGTATTTACTATCACACAATGTGGCTGTTACTGTGTATAATGTTTTCTTGGTTCTGCTCATTTTGCTCAGCATCAGTTCATATAAGCCTTTGCAGGTTTTTCTGAAGTCCACCTTTTAAAGAAAAAGTGACCTAGGGCTTTATTTAACTGATTTGTATATTATGTCCTTCTGTAGACCTGCCTGTGGTTATAGTAAGGCTTTCTCTTAGGATTCAAGTTTCTCTACACCTAGGCCAATTAACCAACCTTAAACCCTCACTTTTTCTTGGAAAATTTTGGATTCCTCGGCCTCTGAATAGAAATTTTTTTTCATGGTCCAGTTATTGACCATCAATTTTAAAAGTATTTTTAAGTACTTATTGTATACAAGGAGATGTGTTAGCAAGGAAGAAGTAAATAAGCATTTCTTTAGTACCTACTATTTCTTTAGGTGCTAACTTTTTTTAAGTTTCAGGCCCTTTGCTAAGTGCTTTTACAAATATCATCTCATTTGATCCTCACAGCAGCCTTTTGAGGTAGGTGCTATTGTTTATTCCATTTACAAATTAGGAAACTAGGTAAATTACTTGCCTATGGTCACATAGCTAGTAATTGTTTGAGGCCAGATTTGAACTCAAGTCTTCCTGATTCCAGGCTCTGCTTGCTATCCATTTCACCACCAGCCACATATAAAGTTTGGGTAAGTCAAGGTTCATGTCTTTATAGGAAGGACCACAGTCTGGAAGGAAAATAGGACATATGCATACATAAATAAAACATACCATTAAGAGTGCTAAGGATGCTCTAAACCAAAGGTTTTCAACCTTTTTTTTGTATGTCATGGAGTACATTGGCAATCTGGTGAAACCTGTGGACCACTTCTCAGAATTATGTTTTTAAATACCTAAAATAAAATACAAGGGATTACAAAGGAAACTAATTGTATTGAAATATATTTTCAATATATATAACTTAAAAAGTTCATGGAGCTCAGGTTATGAACCCTGGCAAACCAAGTGTTATTGTCTTATCAAAAGGTCATTCCTTTAGTGGGCAGTGGTGAGAGGGATAGGGGAAAAGTCTAGGAAGAATCTGTTCTTTGGTAAGGATTATTTTTTTTAAACAGTTTTTAAAAAATTTATTTTTACATGTTTTCTCAATTACATACAAACATTAAAAAATTAATAATTAATTAATTTATTTTTAGTTTTTAACATTCATTTCCATAAGATTTTGAGTTTTAAATTTTCTCCCTTTTCCTCCCCCCTTCCCAAGATGGCATGCAATCTGATATAGGTTCTACTTATACATTCATATTAAGTATATTTTTCCATTAGTCATGATGTAAAGAATAGTTAGAACTGAGGGGAGGAACCACAAGAATGAAGCAATAAAACAAAGCAGCAAAAGAGGAGAGCAAATAGTATGCTTCCATATGTATTCAGAGTCTATAGTTCTTTCTCTGGATGTGGATAGCATTTTCCATTGTGAGTCTTTTGGAGTTGTCTTAGATCCTTGCGCTGCTGAGAAGAATCAAGTCTATACAAATTAGTAATCACACAATGTGGCTGTTACTGTGTATAATGCTCTCTTGGTTCTGCTCATTTTGCTCAGCATCAGTTCATATAAGCCTTTCCAGGTTTTTCTGAAGTCTACCTGCTCATCTTTTTTTATAGCACAATAGTATTCCATTACATTCATATACCACAACTCAAATAAACATTTTTTAACATTCATTTTTTAAAATTTGAGTTTCAAATTCTCTCTTTCTCTTCCTTCCCTCTCCCCTCCTTAAGAAGAGAAGCAATTTAATATAGATTATACATGTGCAGTCACACAAAACATTTCCACATTAGCCATGTTGCAAAAGAAAGCACAGACCAAAAAACCTCCAATAATAATAAAGTACAAAAAAAATGCTTCAGTCTGCATTCAGACTCTATTAATTCTTTCTCTGGTGGATAGCAGTTTTCATCATGTCTTTAGAATTGTTTTAGATCATTAAGTCATTCACAGTTGATCATTATACGGTATTGCTATTACTGTGTACAATGTTCTCCTAGTTCTGCTCATTTCACTTTGCATCAGTTCATGTAAGTCTTTCCAGGTTTTTTTGAAATGTGCCTGCTCGTCATTTCTTACAGCACAATAGTATTCCATCGTAGTCATATATTACAACTTGTTCAGCCATTCCCCAATTGATGGGCATTCCTTTAATTTCCAATTCTTTGCCACCAGAAAAAGCTGCTATAAATATTTGTGTACATTTTATTTTTTCTTTGACCTCTTTGGGGGTACAGACCTAGTAGTGGTATTGCTGGGTCATGCACAGTTTTATGGTGCTTTGGGCATAGTTCCAAATTGCTCTCCAGAATGGTTGGTTAAGTTCACAACTCCACCAACAGTGCATTGGTGTTCCTATTTTTCCACATCCCCTCTAACATTTGTCATTTTCCTTTCTGTCATATTAGCCAGTCTGATAGGTAGGAGGTAGTACCTCAGAGTTGTTTTAATTTGCATTGCTCTAATCAATTTTGATTTAGAACATTTTTTTGTGTGACTATAGATAGCTTTGATTTCTTCTTCTAAAAACTATCTGTTCATATACTTTGACCATTTATAACTTGGAGAATGACTCATATTCTTATAAATTTGACTCAGTTTCCCTATATATTTGAGAAATGAGGTCTTTACTAGAGAAACTCACTGTAAAAAATTCTGTGCTCCCTTCCCCCCATCTCTTGCTTTCCTTCCTAATCTTGGTTATGGTTTTGTTTGTGCAAAAGTTTTTTACTTGATGTAATCAAAATTGTCCATTTTATAGCCATAATACTCTCTGTTTCTTGTTTGGTCATAAATTCTTCCCTTTTCCATAACTTTGACATGAAAAGTATTCCCTTCTCCCCTTTTTTGCTTATGATATCATCCTTTGTGTATAAATCACTTGTTAATTTTAACCTTATCTCAGTATATGGTATGATATATTAGTCTATACCTGGTTTCTGCAAATTGCTTTCTAGTTTTCCCAGTAATTTTTGTCAAATAGTGATTTCTTGTCCCCAAATCTTGGATCTTTGGGTTTGTCAAACACTAGATTGCTATGGTCATTTACTACTATGCATTTGTACCTAATCTATTCCACTGATCTTCCCACTCCATTTCTCAGCCAGTACCATATTGTTTTGATGATTCCTGCTTTGTAATGCAATTTGATTTTTGCTACTGCTATGCCACCTTCCTTCACATTTTTTTTTCAAGAATTACTTCTATAGAGTTTCACACTAATAGCCAACCATGAACAGTACAACTAGGCACTCACTGGAACCCTCCCCTAAATGTCTACATTCTTGTTTGAATCAATAGCATAAAATCAGATTATCTAATTTTTATATTACTTGATTATTCCTTTAATATAAGAGAGATACTATCATTACTTATGGATTGGTTAAAATGGAACTGATTTTGGTTCCCTATGTGAAATTACTACCCACCTATAGTTGTCACACAATCATAACCATTTTAATTGCAGCAAAAGCAAAGAGACTCAGTTTATCTCGATTTTAACCAAACCCAAGTTTCTCCTGAAATAGAAACTCAGGAGATCAAGACTAGGGTGAGAGTTCTCCACCATTTATACCTGTTCCTGGATTGAGAGAAGAGGTTTGGCAGGGGTAGAGTCCCAACACCGGACCTGCCTTTTCATTACCTCCCATACCAACAGAAAAAAAGAAACTTAATGGCTTTGCTTCTCTTACCTCCATCTTCCCAAAGGTCAAAGGTATGCCCCACTTTCTAGAAGACACTCACTAGGGTGATTGCTGAAGGGGTGATAAAAGCAGAGAGGGTGAGAACTCATTTTGTCGGCACTTCTTCCCAGGGCCTTCCTACGATGTGTGTATGTAGATGGGGTGGGAAGAGAAGGAAGAGAATTTTGGGCAATTCTCTTGAAGTTCCTTGACCTCAGTTTATTGATTTAGGAAGGGAAAGGGAAAGGAAGGTGGGGGAGAGTAAATATTTATACAGTACCTATTATGTGTCAGGTACTGCACTAAGTACTTTTTACAAACATGATTTCATTTCAAGTGAGAGGGGTGGACTAGATAATCTATATATTTCTCATTAGGATCTGGAGTCAATTTTTCTATATCCTTAGGGTGAGAACAAATAGGAAAAAGGAGAAGAGATGCTTGCATCATGAAGCATGTTCTTTGAAAGTCCGGGGGTTCATCTCATCACAGGTGATGATTATGTTCATGGTCACGGGAACACTTTGGTATTTGCACTTATGGGAAGAGCCCATGTTGTACATCAGTTGGCAGATAGTCAATTGCAAAGGTTCTCTGCTCTGGTGACAGTTATTCCCCTTTTCCTTACAAGGAATGTTTGGGGTGGCACAGATGGCTCTGACTTTGTCAGAGCTCTCATGGATGAAGATATGCTTCTCCTTACAGGTGCCCTTCGGCCCTGATAACTTCTGGGCCATCATGACATCGCAGCCCCCATCATTCTTGAGCTGCCTAGAGTAGAATAGAGCCTCCTGTTGAAACAACTCCTCAGTTACTGGTGTTGCATGGCCAGTAACATCCTTTTCGCTGGCCTCTGCCAATGACATTTTCACCTCATCCAATAGCATGTCATTCTTGCCAGACTCCTGCAGTTGTGTAGCTTTGAAGCCTCCTATATCCTCTGTGGTCTCTGCCTCTTCCCATGAGTCACTGTCCCAGAGCTGGTTCAGCAACTCCTGGCCGTCCTCTAGCTTTGTGGAAGCCAGCCAAAGCCCCAGGCCCAGGCCCAGCCCTAGCCCCAGCAGCAGCAGCAGCAGCAGCAGCATCACAGGAAAGGTCTGCAGCAGGACTGACTTCATTTTTCCTATGAGACAAGAAAGGGAGATAGAGGGAGAGAAGAGAGGTACGAATATGTTTTTTTTAGACACTTATCTCCCCACATTCTCCCAGTCTGTCCCTTGGTGTCTTCCTTCCCCACATTCCCTCATCCACACATGACAAAATACCCATCTCCTTATGTTTCACATATTTGTAATTCTTTCTACTCTACTTTCTGACCTTACTTTGGAATCTTCAGGTCATGACCTTGGAACTGGGACTTTAGAAATGATTTCCTCCAACCTCCTCATTTTACAGATGAGGAAACAGAGGCACAGGGAGGTTAAATGTTTTGCCTAGGGTCACACAGGTGGTAAGCATTAGAGGATTATGAATCCAGCTCCTCTGACTCAAGATCCAGTGGCCTTTCTACTATAGCCTATGCTGACCCAAGACATTCTATCACAGTTCTGGGGCCTTTCCCTCCCCAGGTCTTGTGGTATGGTTTCTACAGAAACAAGATCTGCCTCTTTCTCAGGTCGAAGAGGCTCTACGAAATGTCTTTATTCTATAGTTGACAGGGGCTAGAGTTGGAAATTAGTGGGAATAGGTGAAGTTGAGACTTTATCTACATGCAGTACCTTAGAGGGGAAAAACAGAAGTCACCCAAGTATTCCCTTAAAACATAGATGACTACAACAACCCCAAGGTAGAAGGCCAGGGGTAACATAAATTCATACAAATGTACTTCTCTTCAGCAAGATTACAATCACAGTCTAGTGAGAATGTAAACCTGGGATCATAAATTCCAAAGCTCTGAGGGTTGAATGAAACAAGATTCTGTGAGGGTAGGTTTTATTTTTTTCCTCTCGCTTGGAGCAAATCTTTTTAACCTTACCTTTTTAACATCTGAGAAATATCCTCAGCAATAGGGAAACCAGTTCCAAACCTCACTCTGTATAGAGAACTATAATGGGAGACTGCGAAGTGTTTGGAAAAAACACTGGCTTGGTTTCTAAACACCATGGTTTCTGGTCTTTGTTCTAATACTATTTTCCTTATTTTGGAAAAGTCACTCAGTTTTTCTGGGCCTTAGTTTTCTCAACTGTAAAATGACTGTTAGATTAAATGATCCCATTCAGCAATAATACTTATGATCCTATATGTAGATGAAGCTATTGTATGCTTATTTTTCTTGCAATTTTTCCTTGTGAAATCTACCCCCTACCCCACCTCAAATGCAAGAAGAAGCTCCCTTCACTCTTATCTATTCCATATCTCCAAGCCAATTCAGGGAGGGGAATATTTACTTTTATATGTCAGGACCAGATAATGCTTGTTAGAGTTAGGTCTTGCCTCGAGGACGCTTCTACAGCTGATAAACTATTCTTTATCCAGTTATATTTGAACTTCAGCCAACCCCAAGGTAGGATAGGGGATGTAGGGTAGCTAGTGCGGGGTTGCCTTGCTTACCAAATCTAAAGACAGCTGAGTAAAGGTGCATTTAGCTCTGAATCCAAGGCAGACCTCCACAGGCTGGTCCCTTGCGTCTAAGATGGTATTTCTTCCAGTACTCTCAGTACTGATGTAACTTACCTGAGCACTGGAATAGCTTCCAAGGCTCTCTTCAATTTCGTGCCTCTCCCCTTTTATCCTCCCTGGAGTCTCCCTTCCCACCTAGGGTTTCCTTCCCTTTATCAGATGCTGAAGCTGAGCTACAGAGGACACTAATGAATCTCCTGGTTTAGTATTTATCCTTATATACAGTTCTGTCCCCTCCTTCCACCCCCTTACCTCCCAGCTCTCTGGGTATATTCTCAGCCTGTTCTTGCTCCTACCCCCACAAATTCTATAAAATTAGGCCATTTGGAGGCTGAAACACATCTGATCATCAAGAAGGGAAATGATCCAAGACTGGAAAATGACTGGCAACTCTTCAATCATTAGACAGTTCTGCTCCTTGCTTACACCCCCACAGCTCTCTTGTTTGTGGCCGACCTGTAGCCACACACCTGAATTTAAATGTTTTCTATATTCTCTTTAGCTCTTGTTAGTTTAATTCTTTTTCTGGGGGAAACCAGGCCTTTTGGTGGTCACTCAATTTAACTGTCCGTTATGGTTATCTGGCTTTCCAGTTTGAGAAAATATATTATAGGGGTATCATGGCATGATGGTTAGAGAGCTGGCCTAGGAATCAGTTAGACCAGGGTTCAAATTTTTTATTTTTTATTTTTGATCGGGGTTTAAATTTTGTCTCTGACACATACTGGTTGTGTGACTCTGGGCAAATCACTTAAGCCCTCACTGCTTTAGGTCAGGGCACTCTGTCCTAGATTATATGTTGCAGAGAAGGTACCAAGTTGGTAGAGGAAGTTTCCCTTACTGGGAGTGCCATATATCAATGAAACCACAGGTTTCATGATTGTTGAGAGTTAGGATGCCATAGTAGATAGAAATCTGGTCTTGGAGCTCACAAAACCTATCTCTAACACATACTAGCTGTGTGATCTTATAAGCAGGATCATAAGCCTAATTACTTAGGCTCCCAGAAAATTCTCAAAGACTTGAAATTTCAGGAAACTTGCTAGAGGGTGCCCCAATAAGCATTCACTCATTTGATTTTCACAAGGGCCCTTTGAAGTAAAGAAGACAAATAGCATCCTGAATTTACAAATGGGGATACTGACGCTCAGATAAGTTAAATGACTTGCTTAGGTCTTAAAACTAATGATCGGGATTTGAGACATAGGGCCAGGGTCTTCAAACTGTGGTCCAAGGACCATTAGTGTTGTCTATAAAGGGATTTGTAAGTTGATCTCTAATATTTTCAGTCTTTGCAATATGACTATATTGTTCTTTTTGGCATGAAATAATAATAACATTTTAAGGTTTACAAAGTGATTTACATATGTTAACTCATTTCATCCTCACAACAACTCTGTGAAGGAGGTTCTATTGTTTTCCCCATCACAGAGATGAAGCAACTGAGACAGATAGAGGTAAACTGACTTGTGCAGAGACATACAGCTAGTAAATATCTGATGCAGGTGAAGTAGGAGTTAGTAGAAATTTAAGAATGAATTCAAGAGAAGGCTTTAGAATCATTGAATACCCAAATTGGAAGGGGCCTCCAATCTTTGGAGAAAACATTAATCTCTTCTCTAACATTTCCAACAGAGAGCTGTCTAGTCTTCTCAGAAATCAAGGATACTTTTGTATAAATTAGTTTATCAGTCATCTCTATCAATTTCTTTCCCAGTAGGTGGTTACAGGGCAGATCCTAAGGCAGAAGTAAAAATCAGCAATATTTACTTCCTCAGTTTGCATGACCAGTTCATCTTCCCCTACTGAAACTTGGCTTCAGGAAAGGATCTGATGACAGTCATTTGTTTATACCTCAGTCTAATTTGTTCAGAGCTGTGCTGAAGTCAGCTAGAACTTGCTCAAGAGAGCCAATGAATAAATTTTCAGTGTGATTACATACATCACAGAAATCATCAAATGCTACAAATCAGACCTTGATTTATTGTTTTGTTGGTAAGAAAATGATGGAGAAAATATTGATGATACAGAACAAACTTAAAAGTGTTGGATGTTTTCAGAGACGCGGTTGTTAAATATCTTCCAGAATTCGACTGCTCCTTCTACCTTAGGCTCCAGGGGAGTCCTATGGAACTGCACTCCTAACAACACAGCTCAGGAGCTCCTGCACTTGTGTTTCCTATCAATCAACCAGTATAGGCAATTAGTTCTTAGAAAAAATAATTCACTAAGAGAGTATAGTAAAAAGAGTTTCTATAAAACATTCCTTTCATAAACTTGGGGCACATTGTCCCGCAAGTACACATACAGTTGGTGGAAAGAGTTGACTCAGACTCAGAGAGCAAGATAGTTATTAAGCATACGTGCAGCAAATGTGTGGTGAAGACAACTCACCCCCTAGTATTGCAAGGTCTGGAAGTCTTCTCTCTTCCCAAAGTCCTAATGCAACTCCCTTTGACTACAGTGTCTCTTGTTGGGCAGGCTGCTTCACTGCCCTGCTGGGTTTGCTCCTCACAGGGCGTCTCTGCTTAGCTGGCTGCCCATCTGGGTTCTCAGGTGTGCTTCTCCTGTATCAGTGTCTGTCTGGAGTGTGCATCTGTGCTATTTGCCTCTGATTCTGATTCTGGGTAACTGCATGTCTGTGAGCCCTTTTGCCTCCATACTTATCCACTCTCCATTAGAGGCAGTGTCTCATTGTTCCTGAAATCTCTCTCCCTCTTGAACTGCTGGATGGGGTGTCTCCCCTTCTGCTGTTAGATGTCATGCTGCATGGGGAGAGAAGAGAGATTAAATCCCTTCTTCCTCACCTATAGGGGTCTAACTTCACAACTTCTCTAAGCCTTGACTGCTCCTCAGAATTTATCTTTTCAATGCCTCTAGAATAATGGCTAATTCTGTGCTCCCCACCCCCCCATCACCGGTCAATTGAGTTATTTCCTTCTTGACTCAATAAGAGAATTTTTGAACCTCATAAAGGTATCAGAGCATAGACACAGCTTGTTTTTACATGAAAACCTGATCATGTATAATCTGTGACTGTACCACCTGCGTTAAAGGTGTGAATCACATCCCCTTTCCCTTTTATAAACCTCAGAGCCCAGGTGATATTGAGAAAGATCCCCCTTGTGTGCGTTTAGCTTTTGGAGTTCTGCTGCTTTTTGGTCAAATCACAAGAATTACTTCTCAAGTGGCTTTTCTGGTCCAAGAAGACCGGAAGTAGAGAGAAGAAAGGAAACAAAGCAGAAAGAGGAGAGAAAAAAAAGAGAGGTAAACATGTAGGGGCAGGATGGGGATGAGCCTTGGTAGATGAGGTATCAAGTTGTTCCTTCTTTAAGGCATCCTGTTTAATGCTGTGCCTCTCTTCTTGGCTGTCTGTCCCAGGCTGCTTTGTCTGCCTCTGCATTGGGTTGTTCCCGCTAGGGTTTAGGCAGGCTTGCTGTCCAGGGCAGCACCTCCATAGACTGCCTTTATCACTCGAGGTCTTCCAAACTCCCCCCTC